CCCCCCCCCCAACAGCATAATATGACCTCCTATGAGCGAGTGCTTTGGTCTCAGGCAGGGGTGGCCGGTTGGGGGTGAATCTAACTTCAGAAACGTCTGGTATAAACTGTACACCTATAGTTCAGAGTTTTCGGAAAAGAGCAACTCCAAAAAGAACCATCAGCTCATGAATGTGAGGTTCATGTGGTTGACTCGGTCAAACCAAATAAAATATTCATGACAGTAGGATCAAGCTCTGCCCCCTTTAGGAAAGCTGAAAGCTCATCTGCAGTGTATTCTCCATCGTTTCTTCTAACATGCAGCATGACACAGCCCCTCACTTGCTCTTCTAGACAGGTTGGAGTGAACTGTGGGTGGATGTCACCCACATCCACCTTTTCTCTTACCACAATCTGCATTATTAACTAATTCAGTAACAGTAAATGATGAGTAACCTTTCAGAGCTTCAAAGATATCACAGCAGCAAGAACCAAAACAAAATTGGACTTTACTTTGGTTCTTGGTCAGGTAATTTATGCAGCTGCACAGCAGCCTTGCTTAGAAGTATGAGCAGTAGTGCAGGAACAGTCATTTTAGAGATGGGTAGACTTTACAGCACACAGGAGGCTCTGGAAGTGATCGTGCACTATGAGTGTGAAGATGGCACCTCATCCTCTTCTGAGGACTCTGAGGCTGACATCGAGGAGGCTTCAGAGGTAGAAACTTTGGATGGTATTTACAGGCTAAAAAAGGAATCAGTTCAAATCTGCAGGGTGCTGCATTGTTAAGGCAGTGTGACTTTTGCATGGTTAGAAAGAGAAGTGCTGGCAGCACCATGTGGGAACCCTATATGCAAAGACCACAGTCTGTCCATTTGCACCTTCTCCTGTATCTCAGCTGGAGACCCTCTTCTTTAAAAGGGGTATAATCTAAAAACTATAATTAATAGTTGCTATTTATATTTCCAGCTGAAGTAGTCTTAAACAACTGTGTGATTTAACCTCCTACGACCTGGCATCCACATATGTGGACATCACATTGTGGGTTGTCTAGACCACAATACTAAATTTTGCTCTGCAAAGGCCTGATATCTTCTTCTCAGAAACTACATCAGGTAAAAAGATAATTCTTTGTTCTTACATTCAGGTCCCAATCAGCCCAAATAGCAAAGAGAAATTAAAAATGCATGCCATGAAAAAATTCAAGTCTCAGCAGGTTAAAGTGGGAAAAAATATTACTATATAATACTTTTAAAGTATTGTGAGAAGGTGGCATTTTTGGGAGGTAGGACCTCAAATATCAATTTTTGAAAGAAAAAAAAATCTGACACTGTACAAAAAATAAAAATGCATGAAAATTAATGTTGCTGACAATCACTGACCCATCTGAGGGCCTAATAAAAATAACAATTAAAGTTAAAAAATTATTACTATATAATATTTTGTATATTTTGGCAGTAAGGTTGAGGGTGAATTGTGGAAATTCACTTTGCATGTTTGAGAGTTCTCGCATGTGATATTTGTTCAAATAAGCTGTTATATGCACAAATAAGAATTGTGTACATGTGTTTGTTACAAGAAAATGTTACATGCTGAATTAGGTTACATAACTGCTGGCAGCATGATGGTGCAGCAGATACACTGTTTCCTCACAAAGAGAAGATCCTGGGTTCGAGGCTGGTTAAAGACTTTTCTGTATGTAAGCAAAAAAAAAATCTTGCTTGTGTTCTCTCTGTGCCTGCATTGGTTCACTCCGAGTACTCCGGTTTCTTCGCCTTCCTGCCAAAGACAAACATGTTATGTTAACTGATGATGGTAAAATAGATAGATATGCACAAGTGGCCTGTTTAGGATGGACTCGACCTATGACATCTGGAATAATCTCCAGCCTCCCCCCAAACTGAAATTGGATAAGTGGAAGGAAATGGATGAATAATATTTAATTGTGCTCTTTGCTTCCCAGTTCAGCCGTATAGATTCCTTGGTGATTGTTAGAGCAATTTCAGTGCGATATAATGTGGGGGGACCACAGAATGCAGTAAGAGAAAGTTGGCGAGTGATGTTTTCTCTATAAGGGTGCATAACCAGAGAACTGGAAATGATTATCTGTATTCGTGATGGAGCTGAAAAATGTCTGAATCCTGTCTTTAGCAGTTTTTGTTCATACCTTGTGGGGGAGAAAAGAGAAGTCTGTGTCACACATGTGTGACTTTGTAGTAACCCGCAGTGTTGTACCACTTGCTTGAACTTGAAAGACTTTCAAATACTTTCAATCTATATTATTTTGTTGCACTCACTCCACCCTCCTTCCAGGATCTTAAGGTGCAAAAATTACTTTTTATAATATTTGGCACTTTTCAAACAGTTTTATAATCTTGGCTGTGCGGCACGAAAACACTTCCACTGGAATAGTTGGAAAAATGAGCATCGAAATGGGAAAATTCATGCGAATG